GTGACAATGTCACCATAGCTGTGATGTCACAGACATAACAGTTATGTCACAGGGATCTGGTGACATCAGAGGGACATCGGTGACATCGCAGGGACATTGGTGCCACTGCTGGGGACAGTGATGACACCACAGGGAAAGCAGTGACCTCACTGGAGACTAGTGACATCACAGTGGACTGATGATAATGAAGGAATATCTGTGATGTCGCAGGGAAATAAGTGACATCAAATAGGACATTGGTGACTTCACAAGGGGGTGAAATTAACAGGGGTGAAATTACAGAGGCAACAATAACATCATTGAGGATATTGATGACATAACAGGGGACAGTGGTGACCTCACAGTGGCATAAATGACATCACTGAGGACCAGTGGGGTCAGCGACATCAAAGGGGACTGGTCACAAGAAAGGGACAGGCGTGATGTCGCAGGGACATCGATGAAATCACAGGGATCTGGTGACATCGTAGGGACATCGGTCACATCATAGGGACATGATGACACCAGTGGGCACAGTGGTGAAATCATAGGGGTAGCAGTGACATCACTTGGGACCAGTGAGGTTACAGGTGACAGGTGACAACAAAGGGACATCTGTGATGTCACAGGGACATCGGTGACATCACATGGGATGTAGGTGACTTCACAAGGGGAGGGGTGACATCACAGAGACACCATTTATATCATTGGGGACATTGCTGACATCACAAGGGCCAACGGTGACATCACAGGAGACTGGTGACACCACAAAGGACTGGTGGCATTACAGGGACATTGGAGAAATCACAGGGACAAGGGGCCACCGCTGACGTCAGTGGTGGCATAAGAGGGACCGCAGTGATATCAGTGGGGACCAGTGACATCACAGGGGACTGATGAGAACAAAGGCTAAGCCCTGTTGTCACAGGGACATGGGTGACATCACAGGAGACATCAGTGACTTCACAAGGACAGGGGTGACATCACAGAGACACTAGGGACATCATCTGGGACATTGCTGACATCACAGGGGACACTGGGGACATCACAGGGACACCAGTGAAATCATTGGGGAACAGTGAAATTACAGAGCAATGGTGAAAACAAAGGGACAGCAGCGATGTCACAGGGAGATTGATGACATCACTGGGGACATTGGTGACTTCTTAAGGACAGGGGTGACATCACAGAGACAGCAGCGACATCATCAGGGACATTGGTGACACCACAGGGGGCAGTGGTGACATGAGACAGACATGGGTGATATCACTGGGGACCAGTGACATCCCACAAGACTGGTGATAAGTAAGGGACAGCTGTGATGTCACAGGGATATCACTGACATCAAAGGGGTCTGGTGCCATCACAAGGACATGGTGCCACCCCTGGGGACAGCAGTGACATCACTGGAGACCAGTGACATCACAGGGCACTGGTGAAATCATAGGGACATTGGTGACATCATTCAGGACCAGTGACATCACAGAGGACTGGTGACAAAAAAGGACAGCCCTGATGTCACAGAGAAATCAGTGACATCACGGGGACATGGAACCACCGCTGGAGACAGTGGTGAAATCACAGAGACATCAGTGACATCACAGGGTACTGCTGAGAACAAAAGGCACAGCTGTGATGTCACAGGCACATCAGTGAAGTCGCAGGGGACCAGGGTAACATCGCAGAGACACCAGTGACATCATCGGGTACAATGGTGACATAACAGAAGACATTGGTGACATCACAGAGAAAGCAGTGATGTCATTGTGGACCAGTGACACCACAGGGGACTGTTGCAAACAAAGGGACAGCCGTGATGTCTCAGGGGACATCACTGACATAACAACAACAGGGGTGACATCACAGAGACAACAGTGACATCATCTAAGACACTGGTGACATCACAGGGGGCAGTGTCAACATCATAGGGATGTCGATGACATCACTGGGGACCAGAGACATCCCAGGGGAGTGTTGAAAACAAGGGACAACCCTGATGTCACAAGGACATCGGTGACTTTACAGGGACAGGGTTGGCATTACAGAGACACCAGTGACTTGATCGGGGACATTGCTGACATCACAGGGGACAGTGGTGACATCACAGGGAAAGTAGTGACATCATCAAGGATATTGGTGACATCACAGGGAACTGTTGACAATAAAGGGAAGGCCGCGATGTCACAGGGACATCGGTGATATCTTTAAAGACCAGTGACATCACTGGTGACTGGTGACAATGAAAGGATAGTTGTGATGTAACAGATATAACAGTGATGTCACAGGGCTATGGTGACATCAGAGGGACTTTGGTGACATCAAGGGGAAGAGGTGTCACTGCTGGAGACAGTGGTGACACCACAGAGAAAGCAGTGACATCATTGAGGACCAGTGACATCACAGGGGACTGGTGACAACAAAAGGATGGCTGTGATGTCACAGGGAAATCAGTGACATCAAATAGGACATTGGTGACTTCACAAGGGCAGGGTGAAATTAGAGATAACAGTGACATCATCGAGGATATTGGTGACATCACAGGGGACAGTGGTGACATCACAGTGACATGGGTGACATCACTGGGGACCAGGGACATCACAGGGGATTGCTGACAACAAATGGAAAGCAGTGATGTCACATGGACATGGTGACATCAAAGGGGACATCAGCGACTTCACAAGCACAAGTATGACATGACAGAGACACCAGTGACATCATCGGAGACATTGTTGACATCACAGGGGACAGTGGTGACATCAGGGAGACTTGAGCGATATCATCGGGGTCAGTGACAATTCAGGGGATTGGTCACAAGAAAGGGACAGCCGTGATGTCACGGGGACATCGGTGGACAGGGACATGATGCCACCGGTGGGCACAGTGGTGAAATCATAGGGACAGCAGTGACATCACTGGGGACCAGTGACATCACAAGGAAATGTTGACAACAAAGGGACAGTCGTGATGTCAAAGGGACATCACTGACATTGGTGACATGACAAGGACATGGTGCCATGGCTCGACACAGTGGTGACATCACAGAGACAGCAGTGACATCATTGGGGACATTGTTGACATCACAGGGGACAGTGATGACACCACAGAGACACCAGTGACATTAATGGGGACATCTCTGATATCAAAGGGGACATCGAAGACTTCACAAGGCCATGGATGAAACAGGTGACATCACAGAGACACCAGTGACATCACAGGGACATGGGTGACATCACTGGGGACCAGTGACATCACATGGGACTGTTGACAACAAAGGGACAGCCGTGATGTCACAGGGACATTGATGACTTCACAAGCAGAGGGTTGACATTATAGAGACACAAGTGGCATGGAAATTGCTGAAGTCACTGGGGACAGTGATGACATCACAGGGACAGAAATTACACCTTTAAGGACCACTGATATCACAGGGGACTGATGAAAACAAAGGAACAGTCGAGATGTCACAAGGAGACCATTTACATCACAGGGGACATCAGTGACTTCACAACGACAAGGGTGACATCACAGAGACATCAGTGACATCATCAGGGACATGAGTGACATCACAAGGGAAAGTAGTGAAATCATTGGGGACCAGTGACATCACAGGGGACCGGTGACAGTAATTGGAAGCCATGATGTCGCAGGGACATTGATGACATCACAGGGGACATCAGTGACTGCACAAGGTCAGGGTGATATCACAGAGACACCAGTGACATCATCAGTGACACTGGTGACATCTTAGGGAACAGTGGTGACATCACAGGGGACAGTGATAACACTACAGAGATACCAGTGACATCAACAGGGACATCTCTGACATGACAGGGGACATCAGTGACATCAGAAGGCCAGGTGTGACATCACAGAGACACCAGTGACATTACCGGTGACATTGGTGGCCTCACAGGGGATAGTGGTGACATCACAGGGACATCAGAGACATCACTAGGGACCAGTGACCTCACAGGGGACTGTTGACAACAAAGGGACAGCCGTGATGTCACAGGGTTATTGGTGACATCACAGGAGACCGTGGTGACATCATAGAAACAGCAGAAACATCACTGGGGACCAGTGACATCAGAGTGACAACAAAGGGGCAGCAGTGATGTCACAGGGACATTGGTGACATCACAGGGGTCTGCTGAAATCACAGGGACATTGGTCACATCATAGGGACATGGTGGCACTGCTGGGGACAGTGGTGATATCACCAGGACAGCAGTGACATCACTGGAGACCAGTGACATCACAGGGGACTGCTTACAGCAATGGGAAAGCCGAGATGTCACAGGGACATTGGTGACAACAAAGGGACGGCCATGATATAACGTGGACATTGGTGACATCATTGGGGATATCGGTGACTTCACAAGGACAAGGGTGACATCACAGAGACACCATGACATCATCGGTGACACTAGTGACGTCACAGGGACATCCATGACATCTTTGAGGACTAGTGACCTTGCAGGGGAATGGTGACAACAAAGGGATAGTTGTGATACCACAGTGATGTTGGGGACATTGGTGACTTCACAAGGACAAGGGTGACATTACAGAGACAGCCACCCCTGGAGACCCCCGCAACCAAAACCCACCCACAGAAACCCACCACATCCAGTGACCTCCACTTGCCCCAGGATGGTCCCAGTTCCCATCAGTGTGATCCCAGTCACTCCCAGTTCATGCCAGTTGCCTCCAGCATGCACCCTGTCACTCCCAGTTACTCCCAGTTGCTTCCAGCATGATCCCAGTTGCTCCAAGAATGGTCCCAGTTGGCTTCCAGCACTGCCCCACTAGCTCCCAGTTCCCCTATGCATAGTTCCAGTAGCTCCCAGTTTGATCCTGGTCCATTACAGTCACTCCCACTATGATCCCAGTAACTCCCAGTCACTCCCAATAGGATCCCAGTTGCCCGCAAGGTGGTCCCAGTTGCTCCCAGCCCCCCCAGGATGGTTCCTTTCCCTCTCAGGGACTCCCAGTCTGAGTCCAGGATGGCCCCAGGTACTTACAGTCCCTGCCTCGATGATGCCATTTCCCCCCGCATGGTCCCAGTTGCTCCCAGTATGATCCCAGTATGAGTCCAGTCACCCCCAGTATGATCCCAGGAACTTCCAGACACTTCCAGTACGAAGCCAGTTTGATCCCACTCATCCCCAGTATGGCTGCAGTCCCTCTCACACACTCCCAGTAACATTGCAGTCATTCCCAGTAAGACCCCAGTATGACCCCAGCAGGGGCCCAGGTGCTCCCAGTACGATCCCATTTGCCCCAGTTCTGGTTATTGGGGGGCAGCTTCCCAGTTCTGCCCAGTCCCAGTTATTGGGGAGCACTGGGAGGGGTTGGAGGATCCCAAGGGGTGGAGCCGAGTTTGCGGAGGCAGAAACGGCCCCGGGATGGATCAGGAATGGGGACCCCCTGTGTTCCCCCCGTGTCACCCCACCCTGGGTGACAGGGTTGCCTCACCATCAGGGGGTCATTCAGGGTGGGAGCAGCAGTCAAAGCTCTTCCCGTAGTCGGGGCACTCGAGGGGCTTCTCTTACTGGTGGGTCCGTTGGTGTCTGGTCAAGTGTGGAGCTCTGGGTGAAGCTCTTCCCACACTCCCCACACTTGTAGGGCCTCTCTCCGGTGTGGATGCGCCGGTGTCTGATGAGGGTGGAGTTCTGGTTGAAGCCCTTCCCGCAGTCGGTGCAGCGGAAGGGCCTCTCCCCTGTGTGTGTCCGCTCATGCACGAGGAGATCTGAGCTGCCCCTAAACCTCTTCCCGCATTCCAAGCACTTGTAGGGCCGTTCCCCAGTGTGGATGAGCTGGTGGGTACGGAGGTGAGAGCTGTTCCTGAACCTCTTCCCACATTCCCTACACAAGTAGGGCACTTCGCCAGTGTGGATGCGCTGGTGGGTGCGGAGGTGGGAGCTGCTCCTGAAGCTCTCCCCACATTCCCCACACATGTAGGGCCACACCCCAGTGTGGATGTGCTGGTGGGTGCGGAGGCTGAAGCTCTGGCTGAAGCTCTTCCCACATTCCCCACACGTGTAGGGCCGTTCCCCAGTGTGGATGTGCTGGTGCCTGAGAAGGTCGGAGCTGTCCCTGAAGCTCTTCCCACATTCCAAGCACCTGAAGGGCTTCTCCCTGCTGGGAGGCTGCTCAGGGACCACCAGCTCGGAGCTCCGGCTCAAGCTCCGGCCGCCTTCCCGGCACAGGACGGGTCTTTCCTCCTCAGAGCTCCCTGGGCTGGCTTTGCAGCCCCTCCTCCGGGGGCATCTCCGGGCCTTTTCCTCCCCGCTGCCTTCCTGCGCCGGGGAGCCCTTCAAAACGGCCTCTCCCACCAGGCTCTGCCGGGGGGATTTGTCCTCCGTGCTCTCCGTCCTCAGCTCGGGGCCTGGGGCAGGAAGGAAGAAGGACAGGCAGGGGATTTGCCTCCAGCCCAGAGGAAAGGCCAAGCACATCCCCCAGATCCGGCCCCAGTAGGACGGCGGTGCCAGCAGGGTTGTCCTGCAGCCGGGGGTGATGCTCGGCTGCCACAGCCACCACAGGACAGGGCCAAAGGGGCACTGACTTCCTCCTCACCTGCCTGGGGGGCCCGTGGCTTTTTCGTCTTCCTCGCAGCCTTCTCCTCCATCTGCCCAAGCTTTGGGAAGGACAAATCCTGCTGGGGGGAAACAAGGGCTGAGCGCGTTGCCTTGGGAATTCGTCCTGCCCAAGTCCATCTCTAGAACTCACCCAGCATCCTGGGAGCATAAAAACCTCCAAAACACCAAAATTCAGCCCAGAAAAACCCAATCCACTGACATTCAGGAAATAAACTGCCTCAAAAATAGCAAGATTGACACCCCTCCATCACAATGGAAAAATTTAAGGTTCAGCCAAAATACGAAGATTCATGCCAAAAATACTCTCCCAGGAGTTCCCCCTGTCTGGTCTCTCCCCTCTGGGGTTTGGAGGGTCTCCTCTCTCTGGAATGTTGGGGGTCCCACTTAGGGATGCTGGGAGATTTGGGGGTCCCAAGGGTCCCTTCTCCTCTGACTCTCACCTTTGGAGTGCTGCCTTCCCAGACATTTCCCCTCTCCAGGTTCTCCACCTTGTTGTCCCAGGGATCCCAGGGGTCCCAACTCTCCAGGCTTCCCCGTCTCCGCTCCCCCCGTTTCAGGCTCCCGGGGGTCCCGGGGCTCCTCCCTCTCCGTGCTCCCCCCTCCAGCCTGCCGGGGTCCCCCAGCTCCGGCATCGCCCGCTCCGCCCTCCACCCTCGGCAGCTCCCAGGGGGAACCCAAACCTGCTGTGTCTGCCCAGCCAGCCCCGGGCTGACAGTGGCCCTGACCCTGTCCCTGCCCCTCCCTGCAGGCTCCGTGGCCGGGCACACTTTGTGTTCCTGGGGGCCACCAGCTCAGCAGCTGCAGCCGCTCCAATCAGCGCCCGCAGCTCTGCAGCAAAGCCCCAGCTCACCTGGCACACAGGGCATGGACACAGCACCTTCTCCCTGCTGGGCACTCCCAGCTCAGCCTCTTCCCCAGCACGGGGCTCTCCTGCCTCAGCACCACCTCTGCCTTCCACTTCTTCTCAGGGCCACCTCAGGGACAGCTCTGGGCTCACCTCCGGGCCATTGCTCAGGGACACCTCAGGGCCTGCTCTCCAGCACAGGAACCTGCAGGGAGGGCAGATGATGTGCAAGCCCAGGGGGGCCTGCTTGCACTGGCCTGGGGGCTTCTTTCTCCTTCCACAACCACCCCACAACTTCTCCTGCTTTTCTAACCCCACCTCTTTGCAGACTGCCCTTGTCTCCCTGTCTGCACAGACACATCTATCCCCTGTGGACAGAGCCTCCAGCATGTGCTGCCCTGGCAATGGCACCCAGAGAATCCCAGAATCAGCCGGCTTGGAAAAGACCTCCCAGATCATCAAGTGCACCCCTTGATCCAACCCCGTCATGGTTCCCAGACCCTGGCACGGATGCCCAGGGGAGGGGCTTTGGGGATGAGGGCTCTCCCAGTACAGCCCAGTGCCCCCTCAGTGCCCTCCCAGTACAGCCCAGTGCCCCCAGCACAGCCCACTGTGTTCCTGTCCCAGAGTGCTGGGTGATCCCTCTTTGCCAGGGGTTTGATTGGAATTTGGGGCATTTTGGGGGCCTCTGGGTGCATTTGGGGGAGTTAAAAGGGGTCTTGGGAGCATTGGGGGGTCAAAGGGATCTGAGTGGGGGAAGGGAATTAAAGGAAAAATGGGAGTTAGGGGACATTTGGGGGTCCTTACTGGGGCCTGGTGGGGACAGGAGGGGCAGCACCACAAGCAGGTGAGTCCTGAGATGCCCCTGGTGTCCCCAAGACCCTCCTGCTGTCCTCAATTTCCCACTTGGCACCCCAAGAACCCCCCTCGTGTCTCCAGTGTCCCCAGGGCCTCCCCACGGCCCCAGTTACCCCCTTGACACCCTCCATTCCACTGTCCCCAAACCCCATCCCTGATGTCCCCAATTCTCCATCTCCCCTCAGAAGGACCCCCTGGACCCTCTGACCCCCAAAATAGCCCCATCCCCCCACGCTCACAGAAAGGTCAAGGGCATCTGGGGACATGTTGGGGACACTTGGGGGGCTTTGGGGGGCTCTGGGTGATTACTGGGAGATACTGGGACACACTGGGGGGAACCAGGGGGCACTGGGAGGAACTCAGGGGTTATTGAGGGATGCTGGGAGGGCATTGGGAGGGACTGGGTTATTAGTGGGGGATTACCAGGACACACGGGGGGACACTGGGAGGTTACTGGGCCATGCTGGAGGTACCTGGGTGCTCACTGGAGGATCACTGGGCCATACTGGGAAGCAGTGGCAGGTCACTGGGCTACACTGGGGGCGCTGGGCCCCCATTACCTGAATGTGGTACATCGACCCCCCAGACTTCGGGGGGCACCCATAAGACCCCTTCCCTGGGAGCTGGAGGACCCCCTGAACCCCATTACTGGACTTTAGGGGACCCTCTGGCCCCCCTCCCATTGGCGTCTCTGTGTGATGAGTTTTGGGGGTCTCTGGGGCTCGAAGGGGGGGGCACCACTACCCCCTTTCCTGCGCTCGGTCCGCCGGGCCGGCAGGGGGCGCTGTGGCTGCAGCAGGAATGGCGGCGCTGCGCAAAGCCTCATGGGGGTTGCAGTTCCCTCATGGCCGGCGCGCCTGCGCATTTAAGCCACATCGCCGGGAGAGCCCCCCCTTTCTCCCCCACCCCGAGAGGGTTTCAATCGCCGCGCTCCGCCCTTCGGGAGCCCCCGAACCCCCCCGCTAAACCCTCCCGAGCCCTCCAGCCTGTCCACAGCTCCCCAGTTCCAACAGCCCCGCTCTCCCCGCAGCCGCCATCTCACTCACCTGGATCGCTGCTGCACAACATGGCGCTGGGCGCGCGCGCCGCCTTTAAACCCCCCGCCGCAGCCAATCAGAGAGCGGGCACCGCCCCTCCAGCCCCGCCCCCGCCTCGCGCGGGGAACCACGGGAGTTGTAGTTGCGGCAGCGAAAGAACCAGCGTGGAACTCGGGACTGCGCGGGGCGATCTGGGCAGATCCGCGGGAGGAACGAGCGGCTGCTGCAGTGTCCTCCGGGGACAGAGGAGGAACGAAAGGGCCGCTCCGTGAGCAGCTGTAGGCGAGATTAATGAGAGAAGGGAGAGAGGAGTCAGAGTTGGAGTCATCTAAAGAAACATCCCCCTCTCTGACTTCAAGCCTTTGCAGGACCAAGGGGAAAAGCTGTCGGTGTCGCTCCGTCCCCTCATTAAAACAGAATACACAGATTCTCAAATGACAATACCCCTCAAATAACTGCAAAAGAAGTTCCTCAGACAGCGACTGAATCAGCTGAGTTAAAAAAGGAATAGAGCAGGACCCCTCAAGGATTTGAGTATGTTTGGAGAGTCTCTCTTACTGGGGCTGACCAAATGTTGTTATCAGCAAAAGAGGCTGAAGGGTTCTGGGGAGCTGGAGTTTTCCTGACCACAGGAGATTCTCGTGGGCCCTGGTCCCTTCCCCAAAGAGCAGCCTATTGGGCAGGGGGACTCAGCCCCCTGCAAAGGGGAGATCCCCTGGCTACAGTGGGAAATGTTCATCAGATTGTGGAAAGTGTGCAAAAGGCTGCTTGTTTACAAATGATGGGTGACAGGGAATGAGCACCAAGCCCTGAATCCCCTATAATGATACCTGCAGACCCTGAAAGAATGATTGCCCTTCTCAGAGCTCTCCCTGAGGCTGTGAAACCCATTGGAATTCAGCTCAAAGGACACATAGAAAGCCTCAGCAAAGGGGACAGAACTGCAGCCCCCTCAGAAGCAGCTTTAACCCCCGGTTGTTACTGTGGAGAAAATAAGATTTGGACCTGGGGGGAGGTGGCAAGGAATTAATTAATTAGAGAAGAAAATGTGGTCCAGGACCTTCAATCACTACTGATTCTCAATCAATTGGACACAGAATGCAAAACAAGGATTCCTCTAGCAGGACTTTAAAGGGAAATGTTCTGCCCTGGACAAGGAGGATCCACCAGCACTGGAGGACACAAGAAAAAAGGAATCCCCTGTGGATTGTGGGCTTGCAAAAAGGAATCCTCAAATCCCTCAGGGATGGCCAACCCAGGGAGAAATGAGAGATATTAATGCAAGAGTGGGCAGCAAAGGAGGGATCCCTGAAAGCTGTCCCTGCTGCAGCCCCTGCCCTGGAGGGCTCACAGCAAGGGGAGGGGACGGGAAACTCCTCTCTTCATCCCCAGGAGCTGAGCCAGGGGGCCAAGGGTGGTTTGACATTGGATGGCTCCCCAAAAATTCCAAAGGACACTTGTTAATAACCTGTCCTATTGGTCCCCACAAAACCCCTGTCACTCTTCTGGTAGATCCTGGCGCTCCAGTGTCCGCCCTGAACACTGAAGGTGCATCTGCCTGTGGAATCACTCCCTCACAGAAAGGCACATTTGCTGTGGGTGCTTTTGGAAACACCCAGAGAACACCAAAGGTGAGATGCTGCTGACCAGGGGAGGAGAAAGCAGGTGAAACCCTGATGATTTGGTATAAACTTCCTGCTCATTTACTGGGGCTGGACATTCTGAAGGGAAGGGCTTGGGCTGATGAGGAAGGAAACATCTGGGCTTCTATTCCAGCACTCCAGCACATCCTGCACTGGCACAGCAACTGCCCCTCGTTCCTCCTGCACCAGCAGTAACAGTGCACCAATATACTGAGGGCATTTTGGCAGCAGGAAATGAAATTGCACCTGTGCAAACCACCCAAGCAGACATGATCAGGCATCTGGAGTCCCTGGACTTGCATGTCCCTCCTGACAAGGTACAACCTCCTTCACAAGAACTAAAATTCCTGGGCATTTGGTGGAAGGGAGGAGTGGTTTGTATCCCCCCAGACACACTTTGCTGCCTTGACCAGAAAAAAATTGTTCCTCAGCAGTCTCTGATTTTAAGGGGACCCTTTAAGGCCATCAAGCCTGTTCTGACAGGAACCCCACCCCCTGATGGGGTGGTCCAGCCAGCTCCTGTTGGGAAATGGAGGGCTCAAATTGAACATTATTGCACCATCTTTCAGAGAACAGAAGGAGCTCACAAAAATCCTCCCTGACAAGATGAGGGGACTGTAAATAGGACAGATGATTCTCCCCCTTCTGTGGTCCAAGGGGCACCCCCACACTCAGAGCAATTGCAGGATGGGGGGTTTCCTGATGCCTCAGCTGAGCGGGAAGGGGCAGTTTGGAAATATCATGCTGTGGCTTTACAGGGACATCCAGGAGACAAAACAGTCCCTGAAGGAGAAGGCAGGGCACAGGCAGGAGAATCAGGAGCAGTTTGGAGGGTATTTAATCAGGAAGCTGAACCCTCTGACTCTGTATGTGTTTACAGAGATTCTTTTACTGTGTTCAAAGGGTACCCTGAGGCCTGAGGGTGATCAAAAACCCTCTCCCCTTCCTGGCCAGCCTGTATTAGTGGCACTGCCTTCTGTAGGAGCTGTACCAATGGTCCTCCCTTGGACAGGGACACCTGGAAAGACACTCATGGCAAAGAACACAAAATAAACTCTTCGGGGATTGTTCCTACATTTTAATGTTGGCCCTATAAGGGGCTGGACAGACCTTTTTCTTTTCTTTTACAGGGAATTGTTCAAAGGAGAAAAGGATTCAGAATTGGGAATGAAAACCTCAAGTTTGGACTCTGGTTCAGTTCACTAGTAACTGTGGTTATCATCTGTTAGTTATGTTTGTGTGGGTATTTACCTTGTCCATGTGCTCAGCAGAACAGACTGTTAGAAGTGGAAATCAAAGGAACCTCTCCTGGGAACTGGTCACAGGGTTTGGGAAAATATGGAATCAAAAGTAAATGTAACCATCTTACCTCAAATTGAATCCCCTCACCCATCTATTGGATCAAGCAAAGGTTAATTTAAACCTGGAATGAGAAATATAATGCCAGACCACCCTGCCTTATTTGCTCATGAGATCCCCTCTTTGACCCATTGCACACACCAGATGTACACAAAAGTATACAGAGGACACGAGGACCTGCCTGTCAGGGGGTGTTTGTCAGGGACAGGTGGAGGAATTTTTGGACAGGAACAGGGTTTAGGTATTGACATGGGCTACTCAGGCAGGTGGTGGAGTCACCGCCCCTGGAGGTGTTTAAGGACAGACTGGACATGGCACTCAGTGCCGTGGTCTGCTTGACATACTGGGGATGGATCGTAGGCTGGATGCCAGTTGAGCTCAGAAGTCTCTGCCAACCTCATGGATTCTGGGCTTCTGTGTCATCCAAGCCTTTGGGACAGAGTGCTGGTGGCTCAGAGGCTCCGTCCTTGCCTTGCCTTGCCCATCTCCTGGGTGCCAGGCAAGGGTCTTGTGCCATCACAGCCTTTGTGGAACAGCGCGGGGGCTGAAAACTGTCAGCGCTCCGTCCCCGTGCACAGAGCCCGGGCAGAACTTGGCTGGCAGGGACGGCACAGACTGTGCAGAGGGGTCAGCTCTTCCCACAGCAGCACAATGCCCAACCAGAGCATCTCCTGGCTCCTCAGGCTCTCTGTGCTCCTGCTCTTGCCCGGCAGACTCGAGCCTTGCAGTCATGCCACAGGTGCCATTTCTGATAACCGGGGTTTTCCTTAGATGGTGCCTTGATGAAAGTCAGGAGCGGCTTTAGAG